CTCGCCGTGAGTTCTTGTGGGATTCTGTCCACGAAATGCAGTTATCCCGGTGACTCTGCGGGGGGACAGAGAACGTTTAGAGGGGCTGCTTCCATGGTAGGGGGTTGTTGCCTGTAACCAGCGCTCCCTTTCACCCCCGTGCTCGGTCGGGCAACGAAAGCACGAGGTTCTCCTCGCTTTACCCTATTGGATGCTCGAACGATGCGTTACCCGGACAACCACCAATCCTGGCATGTTCTCCGCTGCTCCGTCTACCCCTACTTCACCCTCAACATGGCGGATCTACCAATAAAAATTCCTCCGGAAAATAGCCTGCGAGCGATTTTCTTTCCACCTCGCCATCTAGCTTTTCCAACGACTCACACAAACGTCTGGCCAATATGTGCGTTACCACTACTGCCTGTCCGCGTGGGACGTCCCTTTCTACCAGTAGAACCGTTCGCGTTCGCATTCGCGTTTCTCTCTCCGCCTCGTCCTCGTCCTAGTCCTCGTCATCGTTCTCATCGTTCTCTGCCTCCTCCTCGACTTCGTCGTCTTCTCTGCTTCTCCTTTTTTCTCTTGCCTCTTTCTCCACACCCTCTTACCAACCCTTAGCCTCCCTTTGCCACTCTCTTTCACCCTACCTCCTTTTTCCTTCTTTGCATTCGCAGACCCGTCTTCCTTTTTATTATCTCGTGGCAGATAGCTTTTTTAATTCTTTCCTCCTCCCCCTCCCCTCACCCCCCCGTTTTCGGTATTTGATCGTAACGTACACGCATACGGCTGACCCAACTAGTACGTGTGCGAGTCGAGAAACTCTTCGTTTCACGGCCGCGTGAGTCGTTTGCCCACGAGCCGAGTTCGACACGAGCTTGTAACGAATAGAATAGGTTTTTCAACGAATTTCCATCCCTGTCTTTGTGTTTTGCGCACAGCTTTTCGATGATTTGTAATTCCATGAACGAGTCTCTATCCTCTCTCGAAACCTGCGTACCGTACACGCGAAGTTTTACTTCGTTTCTTTTCGTCTGCTCTCTCGTTCTACATTTTCCCTTCTTCCTACGTCGTCAAATAAATTTTTTCAACCTCAATTTTCATTATTTCGTTGTAACGTTAAATCCATGTCCGATGTTTTAATATGGTTCTTTCATCGAATATCAAATTTCTTCCGAGCGATTTCTTCATTTACCCTTTATACTCTTCCTATGGTTTCCTCTTTGAATATCGATATTTGCTCGCGTCGATGATTTCTTTTCTTTCGTTCGAACACGTATAAGGCACACGTGAAGGAGTCGCTTTTCCACGAGATTCTCTTATTTTCGAACGTAGACACGCGGTAGATCTTTACTCATTACCAAACACCGATACCTTCGGCGTTATCCGGAACGATCCACGTTCTCAGACGCATCTACGTCGGAGATAGATTCTCCTTTTTCGACGAATCCTCGCGGAACCCTTAGACTCGTCTCCATGACGCCCTCTTCGTTCGACCCTCCTTCGAAACGAGGCGCCAGGATTCTCTCGCCCAAGGGTGAGTTCGAAGAAGCATGTAACCAGAGAGTATGAGGAGGGTTGCTATAAAGGAGGAACGTAAAGTTTCGAGAGCTTCAGCGTCTTCAAAGTTGCTCGAACTCACGGAAAAAAGTTGGTCATCGTTTTCGTCGCGATAGCAAGAATCAGTTCGTTACTCGTGTTGCCCATATTTAGGTCATCCTTCCTTTCACGATCACCTTGCTGTCTTCCAAAAAAGAGAGGCGAGAGATACAGGCAAATATCTGTTTATCTGAAAAGTTATGCTTCGTCGATAATGTAATTATAATTTTGAATGGAAGTTTCGGTAAACGTACAGTACCACGCCAAAGTACTTGAACGCACTGGTTGTAGAAAACATTTACCGCATATATCGTGTTATATAAAACATGGTGAAATTTCATTGACGCTGTACCTGTATGCGCTAAATAAATAATATTTTTATTTCTACTAACCGTGGCAAATGTTTTAATGTATTAAGAAACTTTCCCCAACCTTAATAAGCGTAACGCGGATACTGGAAAAGTCGGAGAATTACTAACAAATGTAGACTTGCTACGTTTCTCTCGCATGATTTTCGAACGGTATCCATTTTTTCAATAATTTGCGCATAAAACGAGTCGATTCGTCACGGTCGGGGTATATCGATTAAAATAAATATCTAACGACAGAAAATTATCGCGGGAGGAAAAAAGCATTCCTATGTATTCACGGTACAATAATGTTTCGTTCTATTTAATAGAGCTGCTGTGTACACTAACCGTGTATCGCATCAGCGTAACATAATTCAGTTACATAGTTATATTGAATATTTTAGCCGCAACTCCCCATGCTTTGTTTTACCGCCTACAATTCCGTTCGACGATGCAAAATTTTCAGGAAAACTCGTCGACATGCATCGAATGTCTGAAATGTGCAACGTCGATAAAAGCGTACGTTTTGTCAACGTCGTACAAAAGATGAAGTATCACGCTGAAGGCCGGCAATTTCGTCTCTTTGAATCGCACTTTGAAAACAGA